ATGCCGGACAAGACAATTTCTCTATCCAGAATCTATCTTACATATCTATAAGTCTACCATTCACCCATGATTAGAATATTACTGCTTTATATGGTCCTGTGGACCTGCTCTTTACCTTGAACCCATGCAATATATATTACTGCAATATTATTGAGCCATATTTAGCAACTTAGCTACAGTCACTTTCCCACTTTAAGTTTGTTTCTCTATGCCTCTTCTATAAGGATTTCATAGTTATTGTTCGAATGAGCTCTTCGCTAAGGTACATAGATTTTTTTAATTTAAACGCAGCACTAAGCTGGCGTTGAGATCTCATCAATTTGCAGTTGAGCTGGCGAGATGTAACCGTAGATTCTCTGTTAACAGTTCTTCTCGAGCACGCTTCTGCATGTGGGAACTTCTTGCCGCCTACATGCTTTCTAACTTTCATCTGGAAAAATTTAAATGCAAGGTCAATCGCTACTTACTCTTCACCTGATTAATCTCGTCTCTTTTTGCTCAGTGTTAATGTTTCTATTGCAACTTCTTCAATACCTCTTAGCCCGTTGTGTTTAATGACATTATTGCCATGCTTGTGGCATTTCCAATTTAAAAACTAAATTCTTAATTCTAAATTATTTAATTGGTGGAACAAATGAGTGGAGCTTTTCAAGGCATTTACCATGGAAATAGCGACAAGGAATCGACAGGCTTTCGATTTTGGGAGACTGTAATTAAATGACGTTCCCTACAAGTTAGCGTATAACAATTTCAACTCAGGGCTTGGAATTTTGAGGTGGGTAGTTCCAGATTATATGTGGCAGAAATTAATTTTTAATCTCATCTGACTCTTGTAAAGAAAAAGCATAGTTGGTGGATTAGGTATATATATTAGAGATATAAGCAATCAATCATTTTTTCAACAGCATTAGCGAAGGATTTCATTCATGTTTTCCAATTGGGGTCTCTACAGAAATTTGTAACAAAAGAAGTTTAAAGCAAGGTGCATCATTGTAAAAGAAAGTTTCATCGTGACTGGAGAAAATCCATGATCTAATCGCTGATGGTCAGGTGGTATTGAAAGTTACAGAGAATATTTTATGGCCTTTTAGATGTTAAAGCTAAATCAGTGGAGAGACAGACTGATATGATCTGAACATATTTCTTTTTGTAAGTACGCCCATAAAGTTTGGTACCATCTGAATACATATTTAGTAATGATCTGGAAATGTTTCTATGTATAGGACAGGATTTATGATGGAGACGTGGGGACGCCCGGATTTATCACTTGCGCTTAAGAAATCAAGCCATTAATGATGATCTACACGAACATTCCTGAGAGAACAACGCAATGTTACAAGCGTCAGATATTGGTAAGCCAAATTTTCATAAAAGCTGTACGACACATGTCTCTATCTCTCTCTCTTTGTATATATATATATATATATATATATATATATATATATATATATATATATATGAAATTTTATCCTCTTGTTTCAAGGGATATTAGCTTTGGAGTTTGCCAGGGAGCATTCAGAATTTCCAACGAGTAGCTCGAGATTATTATGCAATGCAGGAAATCTGTTCTTGTCCATAACAAAGACCAGTGGATTAAGAACAATTCTTTTGATCAGTTTGTTCTTTACATGAAATCGTTAGATTCTGCTGAGTCTTCTAATCTTGTTGTTTTTTTTTATCTTATATAATCTTACTGACTACGATGATATTAACATTAATGGTACAGGGTTATATAGAGATGATGGCCTTATGTTAGTGGAAATTACACAATAATTAAAGCTGACAAAATCCGAACATTATTTCATAGAGAATTTAAATGTCTTAACCTTAAAGTTAAACTCAACACTAATTTTAACTAAAGTACATTTCCTTGAAGTTACATCACCAATTTAATAATGCATTCCAAACCTACATGAAAACAAATGGCAATCGAATATACAACCACACAAATTCTAACCAGCTTAGATCTGTAATCTAACACATACCATTTTCTATAGAATATAAGATTAGCAATAACTCTTCTAGGGAAGATGTGTCTTACAAATATAGTAAGGTTTACAACACTGTTGAAAAATAGTGGCTATATGTTCACTGATATCAAATAGAGCAGAAATAGTTAGAATCATTTACTAGGAACCCCTCATTAAACCAAATTGTGAGCATTAATTTAGCGCAGAACTGCCTCCATTATACTGATAATCACTTCCCAAGAAATAATCAATTACTAAAATTTTTAACAGAAATACAGTAAAACTAAGCTATAGCTATAGCTGTAAAGATAATCTTGAAAGTTTTTTTTTAAATACATAATAAAAAAGTCTTAGACTAATACAAATAGCAACTAACACTGATAATAACAAGATCAATTATAGAAATTTTAAAGAATATCCATTGCAAAAGCTATTTCAAATTGACTCTCTTGGTTACCTAAGCACGATTTCTACTATTGAAAATCCAACTGTTAAAGAATTTTATATTGGGAGTACCAAGAATTATTTTAAAACTAGGTGGTATCAACATGCATTATCTTTCACGACTAATGCATACAAATATATGACGTTCCTTCGTAAATATTTTTAGAACTTAAAAGTAATTAACAAACCCCCTACGGCGACATGGATAATACTAAAAATAGCTAGAATCATTAACTGAACCTTGTTTCTTATGTTTACATGAAAAATCATAAATTATCCGATTTGCCAACAAAATATCTATGCTAAATCAAAGAAATTAATTAACTGAAAATTGCCGTCAGAGTTTATCTTTTACCGTACAATATAGTTGATTTTTTTAAAAAGAGATTATTCCATTTCTTATGGCCATAATTTATGAGCAAATAATGGCCCACTCTCTATAATAAGTATCTTATTTTGCGTATTTATATTTAGTATTTCTATGTATTGCCGTTCTGTTAGTATTACTTATATCTTATAAAGACTTTCCGCTTTTTAAATTTTATCTACAGGTCCTTTTGAAGATACTTCCTGAATAAAAAACTATAATTTTTTTCTGTTCAACCTAAATTTCCGTATGATGATACTCCTTCCCCCTCCCCGCTAAGTCCTTCAAAAATTGAACATGTCGTATTTGTCTACAATCACAATAAATCTATTGCTTACATGTTTTCTGTAATAGTCAATGACGACCTAAGTTCCAGCATATCATGCCATGAAAAAATAACTCGGCCAACTCCACCCTCTGAGTTTAATTTTCTAGTTACTGTAGATTTGATATTTAATTGGTTGATCAAGACAAACCCATAAGTCTATTTTAAATTCTGACCATGTATTTTCTTACCCGCCATTATCTTTCCGAAAAGATGTATCATTTTGCTTTTGAATTTTTAAAAAAAATTATTTAACTACTTTATGAACAAAATAGGCTATCATCATTTTATGAAAAAAAGGAAAGAAAATAATGATTAAATTTTCCTCTCATCAAAATATCCTCCTTTAATCTTGATTACTGCAGTACATATTTTTGGCATTCGTTGCGAAATTTTCTCAAAATATCAATTTGATAATTATTTCTATTTTTTCATTGACTCTAAAATTACTTTTTCATGTTTTTTTTTATTTTTAATCTTCTGTCAAGTTTCATGCATGCTAATTCTGGAGATAGCTTGAAACTATTTAACTGTGTTGTGTCTGTGTATACATATATATATATATATATATATATATATATATATATATATATATATATATATATATATATATATATATATATATATATATATATATATATAAAATAGAATTAAAATACAATTAAATAGTTAAATATATATATATATATATATATATATATATATATATATATATATATATATATATGATGAAAAAAATGGGAAAAAACGAGAATGAGTGAAGGAAGAAAACGTTGAAGTTAATGAGGTGAATAAATGAAACAAAACTAAATAAACGGAAAGCAAGTATAACGTGGATTTAAGCATCGCAGTAATAAAGTTTGCTTATTTGCTTATAACTGAGTATACGAGAAAAAAATCTTCCCCGGCATGTAGTTTTATAATTTTAAACATTGACTAAATCAATAGAGAAACAAGCCAAAACCTAAGAAAGAATTTCTTGCACTTAACTTCTGAATATTAATAATGAACAATATAGGTACATGAGAAAAACTCTGTGTAAATCTCTTTTAGTTAAGACAAAACGGATGTTAACTCAATTCAAGGTGTGGTAAATGTTTGGCAGTCATTTCGACAGGAACTTAATAATAAAAGTTAGTTGATTATTGAAAGAATTCGATGCCGTCAAAGATTGTCTGAATGTCACTCTGCGCTGACAATTATCCTATTTATTATACATTATCACAAAAATAAAACAACGTATATTTTGCAAGTTTAATCTTATCTAAGACTTTAACGGCGGTGTTATAAATATGTTATGGATGTTCGACATGATGGTTGCAAGAACGAACATTTCATTTGCCTGTATCTTCTTATTTCTCGTTGTATTTTAGAAGGGGAATACAATTCGACTTGTCGGTTGCTCAACAACAATGTCAAGACATATGGAATGAAAATTGCTTTGTTTTGATAAAATTGCATTTTTAGACTTTTAGACTGAATATTTGAATAAGATCTTGATAGCTAGATAGATAATTAATCAAATGAGATGGATAGGTAGATAATGAATGAAATGAGAGAGAGAGGGGGTAGGTAATGAAAAATGAGAAAAAGAGGTAGATAATAAATAAGATAGATAATGAATAAAATAACATAGCTAGCTAGCTAAATAGATAGATAATGAATAAAATGAGATAGGGAGGTCGATAATGACTAAAATGAGATAGAGAGGTTGATAATAACTAAAATGAGATAGAGAGGTAGATAATGACTAAAATGAGAGAGAGGTAGATAATGAATAAAATGAGATAGAGAGGTAGATAATGAATAAAATGAGATAGAGAGGTAGATAATGACTAAAATGAGATAGAGAGGTAGATAATGAATAAAATGAGATAGGGAGGTCGATAATGACTAAAATGAGATAGGGAGGTCGATAATGACAAAAATGAGATAGAGAGGTAGATAATGAATAAAATGAGAGAAAGTTAAATAACGAATGAAATGAGAGAGACAGAGTTAGAAAATGACTAAAATGAGATAGAGAGGTAGATAATGACTAAAATGAGATAGAGAGGTCGATAATGACTAAAATGAGATAGAGGTAGATAATGAATAAAATGAGATAGAGAGGTAGACAATGACTAAAATGAGATAGAGAGGTAGATAATGAATAAAATGAGATAGAGAGGTAGATAATGAATAAAATGAGAGAAAGTTAGATAACGAATGAAATGAGAGAGACAGAGTTAGAAAATGACTAAAATGAGATAGAGACGTAAATAATGAATACAATGAGAAAGAGTTAGATAATGACTAAAATGAGATAGAGAGGTAGATACTGAATAAAATGAGAGAGTTAGATAACGAATCAAATGAGAGAGTGAGAGAGAGAGTTAGAAAAAGACTAAAATGAGATAGAGAGGTAGATAATAAATAAAATGAGAGAGACTTAGATAATGACTAAAATGAGATAGAGAGGTAGATACTGAATAAAATGAGAGAGTGTTAGATAATGAATCAAATGAGAGAGAGTTAGATAATGACTAAAATGAGATAGATATGTAGATAATGACTAAAATTAGAGAGAAGTAGATTATGAATAAAATGAGAGAGAGGTAGTTTATGAATAAAGTGAGGTAAATAGATAATTAATAAAATGAAATAGATATGAATAAAATGAGATAGATAGATATATAATGAATAAAATGAGATATATAATGAAAAATGAGAGTGACATATAATGAAGAAATGCGATAGACAGATTTAAGGAAAAAGAATATGTGAAAACAGGTGATTATTTAAATTTTGTCAACATTTTGTTCAATCACTATATCATCACAACAATTGAAGCAATTAAAGATAATCAATCATGGAAATATTACTACTTAAAAAAAACCCTATATAAATACACATGGCCGCCTGGAAAAATTTTATCTGCAAAATAGTCGTTTACAATACAAATATAATAACCTCATACATATTTTTTTTTAAATCTAAAAATAATGAACCGTTATTAACAAAACGAAAACGGCAGCACTCAATATTATCAACTATGAACACGTCCACAAAGCGCTGGTTATGTTTGCAAAATAAAACATTCCTATAACTCTAGATGCATACATCTAATAATCCATATATTCAGTTACAGATAAAAGTAAGATTGATATTTAATAATCCCTGGATAGGTATAGCCGAAAGTTCGCGGATATATAAAATATTTGGTCCATTTCTATATAAGTTACGTCCAGAAAAAGGAAATTATGAAAAAACATAAACAATTTAATAAATAACTTTACCGCAGTTTGTTGTTGGTCTCTTTTAATGAAACATGTATCAAATATGGATTGCTATTCAAATACACACACACACACACACACACACACACACACACATATATATATATATATATATATATATATATATATATATATATATATATATATATATATGGGGTGTATCCTATATAATTTTTCACAACAGAGCAAGGACAAATTTCCATATGAATATATATCAGCAAATCCAGCGTTTTTGTCTTATTAACTTTCAAGAAGGCCTCGCACCCATTACTTTAGATCTCGCCATAGATTTTCTATACGAATGATGTCTGAAGACTGACTGGGCAACGGTAAATCTCTGATTTTCTTGCTAGCAAACCAAGCTTTAGTGATTTTGACACATGCTTGGGGTTGTTATTTTGATGAAACTTGAAATTGTGACTAAAGCGCAGAGCTCTAGCAGACCTCAGCAGGTTTGCCTCCAATATTTCTTGGTACTTGACACTGTCCATGACACCTTGGAAAATTACCAGTTCTCCAGGCCCTGCAGCTGAAAAACTGCCCCCAAATCATGCTCTAATTACCGCCATGCTTTACAGTGGGGACGCTGTAATGATGTTGGTGAGCAGAGCGTTTTTTGCTCCAAACGTAGCGTTTCGTACTTTTTCCAACTAACTCGACTTTGGTCTCATCTGACCACCAAATCTTTATGCAATCATTGATGTTACTTTTGTCAAAGTTTAGCCTGGCTTGCTGTGTGCATAGGCTTCAGAAGGGACATTTTTCTAGCTACCCTACCTTGAAGGCCAGGCCGTTTTAATACTCTTGAAATTGTAGATGCATGGACAGCTTCCCCAGTACTAGAAACTGAAGCTTTCAACTCTTCCAGCGTTGCACCAGGGTTGGAGGTTGATTCCCGGACCAGTTTTGATTGTGCTCTTCTAGTAAGTTTGCACGGTCTCCAAGATATTGTTAAGGTAGCTGTCATTTTCTGCACTAACCACTTCTTAACTAAAGTTTTAACAGTGCTTAGGGGGTTTTGCAATCTTTTTATAGCCATTATTTTTATTGTACTTTTGAATAATAAGGTTTTTAATTTCCTGAGAGATTTTTTTCCCTAGTTGGGTTTACAGTCAGAGTCCAAAGACCAACATACCAAGAAACCATGTGTTGGATGATTTTGTAGGCAGTTAAATCACCTTATATAGCAAAATAATAAACTGGCCAAGTTTGTTTATTATGGTAGAACGCACTTTTTATTGTTCTGGATTCTATACATCAATGATAAACTATGCGATAACACAGTATAATATCTGGGAGGGTGTAGACGTTTGCAAAGACATTTTCTTTAAGTTATATGATTTTAAGTATCAGTATGACATTTTTAAAATGTAATTTTTATATCAAAGGAAAGTGTGATGGATCTGCTTATTATTTAACAATCATTGGAATTGAAAAACTATGCAGTTCCCTCTTGAATTATACAAAATACATAAATTTTAAAAGTGGGTGGAGACATTTGCAACCCACTGTACATAGATACTTTTAGTCTTATCTGAATTTTAACACATAATTGTATATATATATATATATATATATATATATATATATATATATATATATATATATATATATATACACCTAGTGAGCCAGACAAACATATGTGTTTCTCTTTGCCTCGTTAGCCAAGCTTTCCCTGACGATCCGTTTAGGTGAAACCTAGGTAGGTTTGTCTGGCTCACCAGGCGTATCTAGGTCTGCTCTACGATTGTATTGAGCTCTTTTGTTTGTTAGTTGTTACTCGTATCGGGATTTTTTCTTTGGGCTCCAGACCTGCATCTGTGCGATTTTTTGTCGGCAGAAGTTCATGTTTGTAGCTCTTTCTTTTTTTAAAACCTTTTTTCCCTCGAGATTGATTTGATTAACAAATCAAAAATTCGAGGGTTTTTCGAAACGAGTCTAGTTATCTATATTTATATGTATATATATATAAATATAGTTTAATCAAAACTAGGTAATCCGCAAGGGTAGACCCAAGGAGGATGATATCCGGAGAGCTCAATGTAAATTCAGAGCAAATATGTTTGAATAAAAAAAGACCACTTTTAGGACATGGAACCTTAAAATGGTCTGTTTTTATTCAAATATATATATATATATATATATATATATATATATATATATATATACACACTAATGTATAATTACGTATATGCCAAGACACGTATGCCATGAAATTGAAAACACACTTGACAGATAAAACGTATTCAATAGAAAAAGGCAAAGTGAAATACATGAACACATATTCAAATTAGAAAAAACAGAAAAGCTATCCAATAACACTGTCTTCAATAGGGAGGACGACCACAGTGCGACGATGCGCATGTCAGCATTCACAAATTCTTCCATTTTCCTTCATGCTCGCTGTCACATTCATGATGGAGAATGCCATTAATCATTTTGCTATTGTAACACCGCTATTTTCTCTCGCACTTCACGCTGACCAAGATTTAGTCGGGGAAGTGATACAAATGTCGACAGCTCAGGAGACACGTGTTGATGTGCTTGAAGAGATGGTCAGACAACACTCCCGATTAGTTGATCCTTTGCCATATTGTCAATGTGGGAAGGAGCGTGGTTTGTTTTGATTCTGTCGATTTTACATTATGGTAATATCAATTGGACACAGTCTGTGAGAATAAAGAGCAACATGACTATACACTCTGCAAGAAATTTAGAAACGGCATGCTTTACTACTTAGCATTCTCAACGGAGGCTCAAATACGAACATTTCAGAGTGTTTCGGTGTCAATCTGGCAGCATTGCAGAGGATTAGAAAGGAAGTGGATGAGTCTAAAAGTTATTAAGAATGGGTTTAGAGTGATCATTAGTGATAGCGACATTATATCTCCATTCATCTTCCTACAAAGCATACATCAAGTGCCTTGAAATGATAACCTGGGCAAAGAGGGTGGCAGCTGGAAGACTCCATGTCTGGCGAAAAGACTCTGACCCATGGCACACAATCAGGATAAACCATTCATGGCTGTCAGGCAATTTCTGTGATCATATCATATATTTCTGGCTAGCTAACTCTCGAGACTGCATTCCCAATTCATTATTATGTGTGAAGTGCAGTTGAACGAGAGACCAACAAAACTCCTTGTGACACCAAAGATGAACTGAGAGCAAATATTGTAGCAGCATTCACTAACTTAAGATGACCATCCAGAAAGGATACATGAGATTCCGAAGTCGACTGAAGGCCGTGGTTGAAGTCAATGGCGATTTTATTGAATAAATTTAATCTCTAGTATTAAAAAATATTTTTGCTTAATATTGTTAAATAGATCTGTTAAAATGAAATGCTTGTGTTATTTGCATTTCGTAATTTAGACGACAAATTATCCATCACATCTCTCTCTCTCTCTCTCTCTCTCTCTCTATATATATATATATATATATATATATATATATATATATATATATATATATATATATTTATTTATGTGTTTAAGTGCTCAATTTCAGGGATATAGCGTAAGCAAAATGTATATTGAAAAAAAGGACAAAACACAAAAAGGTTGAAGAAGACGGTTGTGAGAAAGCTACTGAAGTCAAATGGCTTCTCAGGATAGATTACATTACAGATCATCTATAGATTTTGTTAAGAATCTGGAGATGTACAGCTGTACCAAAAGATCAGATATGGCAACAAAGGCCCGTTGAAATTTTACCCTTCAGGCAAATATAATTTGTTCTTGCCAACATTTTCATTACGATAGCGTATGACAACTAATCTAGTCAAATGTAGCTCCATGTTAGGTATTAAAAGAAAATTCACTTTGCATACATTTCTTTTAAATTAGTAGATGCAAAGAACATTTCGACAACGAATTCCTTTAAAGTGGATTTTTTGACTACAATTAGCAGAAAAGTTAAAAGAAAGGGCTTGATAATTGAGGAATAACTTAGCTCTGGTGACGGATATTGAATCACATTGCCTTGATATTTGAGAAGAGAGATACGATATAAAAACATCATTGGTTAATACCGTGGGAATCCTTGCTTTCTCTTTCATTTTGCCATTGGCAGATCGGCTTCAAGCAATAAGTTCAGCTTCTTGAAATAAATAATGATTAAATTAAAAACGAGGTCTCCGAGGCAAAAAAAAAAAAAAGATTAAAACTAATGCCTGAGTTCGAATTAAATTATATTATATTAAAGCACTGTGAATACTTGAATACTTGTGAAATATTCTCTTTTCATTTTTTGTTATTATTACCAAGTTGCGGCCGTTTTATCCTTCGATCATCATTCGGTGTTTGTCGGGCTGTGTAAACTTATGGAAGTTTGAACTGAGTTCTTTATTTAATTTACGAAAAAAACTCATAACCTATCTTGCTAGCTTGAGTAAATGTGTAGCGGAAGAGGGTTTAGGAAAGATGACAAAAAAAAATTATTAAGAGCTGCAAAGGAAATTGTGGACAGCTTTGATCGCAAATTCCCAGAAGGGATACGACACATAGAAGATGAACAATTTGTTGTTCGGCTGTTCATTTGTACGAACGTCACGTCTAATTCTCGTTTATTACTGCTCAGTTGATATTCTTGATTTTGCACCTGAATATACGTTTAAAATAAGGGATCACGAGATTAAAGTCACGATGTCAATATCATAAAATCGACAAACCAACGCTCAAATTCACTAGTTCATTGGATTAGCATTACAAATGCCAGTGCCCTATGCATATAATGATAGAGACCTATCACAGAAATTAGAAAAAAATAAAATACTTCTATAAAAAACGACGTATATATTATATAGGTTTGACAGAACAAAGTTCAACTCGGATGCTCAAAAGATTAAATTGCATTTCAAGCCCTGCTCTAATTTTTAATGACATTTCCCGAATAGGTTCATTTTATGTGTAAACATACATGCTTAATTCGAAAATAATAAAGAAATTTTGATAAAATCTATCGTTTCGGAGTAATCCACAATACAATTTCGGACTCATTCCCGTCGCGTTGGGTGAAGCTGAAATTTAATTCTACACTCCATCATATACTGATAATGGTAATCTTACACGTTTCATCATAAAGAAACATTATGTATTCGTTGATCGTGCTTTTAGTCCTAATGTAGTTTGAAATTAATATTTTTTTTTCTATTAAAACAGGGTTTAGGAAAAAACTGGTTTCTCAAGTCCACTTGACACTCTTCACATTAGTGATGTATTTTTTTCCTTGCTTTTTGTGTGATGTAGTGTGGATCACCATTATAATTTGATTCACACTTCCATTTATTGTAAGGTTTGGTTGTTTTTACGTATTGAGTTAAAGACGATGATGAATTAGTTCATTAATATTTATTTACAGTTGATAAGTTAGAGTCCATGTAAAATATTCCCAGAATCCCTAGTGAAATACGCTAATGGATTTACATCGAGAGTGCGTAGTGAAGTAGCTCTTACACACTTTTACATTTACTTACCATTTTCAGTTGTTGCTGCTGTTGAAAGTCTTCAGGTGTTATGAATTCTGCTATCTGGTAGAATTATTTACAATTCTGTAACGCCAACCCACCAGGTTCGAGAAAATATAGATCCTAAATGATACCTACAAACTTCTTCCGCTCGAAGCCATTTTTAACCATTGATATGAGATTTTGTATACAGACAAAACTTTAAGCATCCGTATAAAAGTTTCAGTCGGACGAGACTATTTAAGAACACATCACGTGTTTTCGGTTAAAGTTTTTTTTTTTTTGTGTGTGTGTGTGTTTTTTTTTTTTTGGCTGCCGACGATTTTTTGACAAAAGTACTCCTAGCACAGCCTATTCTATATTACAATATCACCTAGATTAAATTCGAGCTAAATAATGTATAAACCGAGGTAAGTTAAACCTTTCAGCATTTACTAATTGCCTATCCTGACATTTTTATGGAGGATTCTGGGTATGAATAATCCTAATTTTCAATCCAATTTATCCTGTTGAGAAAACTTTGTCTAATGAAGCAGAACAGAAAGTTTTATTGATATCCCGTATGCTGCTTTGAGTTATACATAGCCGGTATACAATTTTCTACGAAAGAGATAAGCATTTCTTTGTGTTATTTGATTACCTATATGCTGACATTACAACTCTTACTAGAACCGAAGCAAAATAGGGTCATGTCGAGTTTTCATGCAGCAATGGCGGACTTTTAAAATCTATAGCCATTATCCCCTTTAGTATAATGAATCTAATTTAGATATCATTTTATGTGTGAGTGTCTTGGTGCATACATTTTAGTATCATAGTGTATTAAGACGAGATAGACACAACTATAATTTAAATGCGATTATGATTTAAAAATACAGAAGTGGATTTCCAAGAAACAACAAAGAAAGAAGTTATAATTAATTTAATAGTTTATACAAGGGCCATTTATGGAGTAGATTTCATTACGACAATTGCGTATGTAAAATCAATTATTCAAGCATTGTGGGGATCCAGTTTAGAAATGATAGCAGAAAACCATAGACGAAGATAAATGCATATTACAACGGCCGGAGCATACTGCCCATAAACCACTTGACTGGAAGGTCCCAAGCGTAAATTTATATACAATAAAAATCAAAATAAAGATTAATATTAGAAAGGTGAAATCTTTTTTTTTCAGATGTTGACATAATTCTGTGATCTTTCATGTCCAAATCCGTGAATTTGTTTTCCTTATGGTAAGTCAAAAAAACGCTACATAAAACCCATTATATTTTTTTATCCCTGATTTTAGATATGAAAATTATTCAACTATTTTACAAACAAAAATCTCAAGGCGACGTTAAAAATTCCCAGTAAACAGTGTTGATTTATTTAAGATGGAAGGATCTGTTATGATATTTATAGTTTATTTATTTTCAAGATTTCTAGTTGAATATTTCAACTATGTTGCATATGGTCCATTATTGTACATAATTAAGTTACAATAAAATTTGTATTTTATATGAATAGTACCTTATGAAAATTGTGATGTATGTGGAGTCGGAAGCCCCTTATCTCATATCATATTAAAAAGCCACAATTAGTCACTAAGAACGAAACAAGTTACAGTCTAAATTGTACCTCATTCTGTGAGCGAACAAAATTTTTCTTCACTAAAAGTTATACTCATTAAAAAAACAAGTACAATTGTTACAAGCGGAAAAAAGGATGTCTTTGATGTGATATATATATAGATTCAAGGAATGCTATATTTATCGGTTAATTTGATCATTACCAGGGATAGAGCGTATGCACATACGAAATTGGACATTGACGTCAATATCGAGAAGCGACAGTCTGTTTAATATGCCTAACGACTGCGTTTAGCATGAAAGAGTCTGTCGTTTCTGGGTCTTGACTTAAATGTTCACTTTACATATATATATATATATATATATATATATATATATATATATATATATATTTATATATATATGTGTGTGTGTGTGTGTGTGTGTGTGTGTGTGTGTGTATATACACACAAAATATATATTTTTATATGTGTGTGTGTAGAGAGGGTGAGAGAGAGAATAGTGAGCAACAGAATTTCTGTTAAAATTTGAAACAAAATATATAAAATAGAAATTCTTAAGTAGTCAATTCGCTATGTCCGCAGTATAATCGTGCACGTACGCACACACACACACACTAGTAGTAGGAGTTGTATTAGTAACAGTAGTAATAATACTAATAATACATACATACATACATACATGCATACATACATGCACGCATATATACCAATGGGAATTTAATGATTTAAAATAAAATGAGAAAAATGAAGTAAAATGAAATAAGAGCCTCATATAGAAATATCTTATAGTATACTTACCTATATTTAAATATTCGGTATTTGGATGATCTAGTCTCCCTATTTTCAGTTACATATCTTGACAACTAGGTTATGACATGCCGCGTCCACAGACTCGATTCATCTTGATTACCTTCCTATTCTATTATTAAGAAGGACATTCATTCGGACAGTTTCTACTCGAGAAGATTCCGCCATTATTGGAACAGATTTCCGAGACGATGTTTCTTTGGTTAATACAATTTTAAACTTTGCTGCACTTAAATCCTTATATAATACACCTACAACAACCTCCATTAGAACTCCTCTAGACTGAGCGTCCCTTTGGCCTTGTAGTGGGGAAATGATTCATTCAGCTAATCTAATATAAAGAAAATCATTAGTGAACTTTATATCATTTCTTCTTCCATTTGTTTCTCATCTCAATAGACTATTTTTTTAATATAATCGTTTCTTTTCCTCATACTTTACAAACAGAGAAAATATTAGTTCGAGCGCAGACACAATGGGGAACATTCGAATCCAATTTTTCACCCCAAACTCAATCGTCGTCAAAGATCACACAGATGTCTCAACTTTCATTCTTCTTACGTTCCGAGGAGAAATTATCTCGAGAGTGTGGAGAGCGATATTCAACAGAGATGATGATATGTCTAGTCGATGTGTAATTCGTTTCCGCCCGTCTTTCCCCAATTTCCTGTAAATTACCCTGCTTGCTATGAACGCGGCTTATATCATGCAACACCTTCCGGGTTTTGATCGATGTACAGACAAAATCGGCAGTGCACTTGCGCCGACAAGCGACAAATCATTCTCCCTTCAGTGAAGTAGACAATTCTACTCACCTTCGATGGACGTGTAATTACTGTGCCATTTGAAATAGCAATTACCACGGCCGGTAACTTACCCAAACTGATGGAGATCAGATTTATATTGCACTAATACTTCTTAAATGGGAACGTGAAGTAGCGTAACGATTATTCACACTGAAACGAAAGCCGACGAATTGCTTTCGAATACCAGTGGGAGCAATTTATATTGGGATTGCTCTGAAAGTCGAGAATTCTATTTTTTTAGAAAGACAGTTCAGCTGTCTAATGTCAGCTAGCGAAACTTGTGTTTGCACCAAAGTGACATCAGAATCGAATCATATGAACCTTGCATTCCCACCAAAATGACATAAGGAAAGAGTAAAGGTGA